ATTAAAATGAAGGAGAGAATCCTAGAAGCAGCAAGATAAAGGGTGAAAGTCACCTACAAAGGAGTTTCCATCAGATTGTCAGCTGATTTCTCAAAAGAGGCCTTACAGGGAAGAAGGGGATGGAAAGAGGTATTCCAAGTCATGAAATCCAAAGATGTACATCTAAGATTGCTCTATCCAGCAAAGCTTTCATTTAGAATGGAAGGGCAGATAAAGTGCTTCTCACATAAGGTTAAGTTAAAAGAGTTCATCATCACCAAGCCTTTATTATATGACATGTTATAGAGACTTATCTAAGAAAAAGAAGATAAAAATATGAACAGTGAAAGGACAGCAAATTCACAGTTATTAACAACCACACCTAAAACAAAAGCAAACTAAGTGGACACCTAGAGCAGGAGCGGAGCCACAGAAATGTAGATCACATGGAGGGTTAGCAACAGGAAAGTGGGAGGAGATGGGGGAAGGAGGTACAGCAAATAAGTAGCATAGATGGTTGGTAGAAAATAGACAGGGGGATGGCAAGAATAGTATGGGAAATGTAGAAGCTAAATAACTTGTGACACATGGACATGAACTAAAGGAGGTGTGGGGGAGGGGATGTGCAGGGTAGAGGGGAATGACAGGGGAAATTGGACAACTGTAATGGCAAGATCAATAAAATATATTAAAAAAGAGAACAATCCAAACAATATAACAAGTGTTGGAAAGAATATTGAAAATAGGAGATCTTCTGCACCAACTGGGAAAGCATTATGGAGGATTTTCAGAAAGTGAAGAGAGAAATGTCATATGGTGCAGCAATTGGACTCCAGGGTTTATCTGTAGAGTAAAGTCACAGAGATAGGCAGCCATGATTGTAGCTGCAAATTCAGAACAGAAAATAGGTGGAAGCAACCTAAATGTCCCTTGATGGATGAAGGGATGAACAGAATGTGGTTCATACATACACTGGAGTGTTACACAACATTGAGAAAGGAAAACTGTGTCAGATACTTCAGCATGGATGAACTTTGAGGACTTTATTGTGAGATAAATGAGATAGTCACATGAAGATAACCCTGTATGAGTCCACTCACACAAGTTGTCTATCTAGAGTAATCAGGTGTACTGAAATGGAAAGTAGGATGGCAAGTGCCAGAGGTGGGAGGGGGTAAGTTGATTTATATGTGTAAAGTGTCAGATTTGCAAGATGAAAGAAAGTGTCCTTTACTCTGTTCTATGCAAATGAGAATACACTTAACGTTTATGAAGTGTATACTTCACATAAGGAGATGGTACCTGTTGTGTTTTCTATTACAATTAAGAATTTATGAAGACTGGGGGGGTAATGGGGGGGAGGGGGGAGACCGGGCGGGGGGGTGGGGTGGGATGGGAGAAATAGATAAAAAATGTACTTGAAAAGTAACTAAATAAAATTTATATTAAAAAAATAAAAAGTTATATATAACTAGATTTCACAATTGTTATGCTGTTTCCATTACATCTAGTTTGTGAGACCCATCCACACTCTGTAACAGGTCAGTCTCATCTCAGACACCACCAGCACGCTGCACTTACAGTGCACTGTGGTGAGGTTTCTGTCTCTGTCCTCATTTACCTTCCCTCCTTTCCTAAGAGAAGCAGAGACTAGAGCAGAGGAGAAGGGACATGTGGGGCCACCAGGCAGAGCACAGGGTTCTCCTACATTTTAGCCCACAGTAAATTTTCTTGGACATTTCTTCACAACTTTTCTCCTCATCAATGTGACCATTATTAATTGTGCACTTTCCTAACTTTATAAATAAGTGTAAATGCAACTTTGCCATACTGAGTTGTGGTTATGGAAATAAAGAAATTATACGTTTGTATAAGGGCATAGGAGTCTGTGATGTGTTTGCTGTGCTATTTCCTGAGCTTAAAGTCGAGTTGGGATAACCTTTCTCTATTGGTTCCTGAAATCATTGGCACAAACATATGAAGTTGCTCATAATTATACTCTTCAGTTATATATCTAGTTCTGTATTTTCAGAACCACATCACTTCCAAACATGTAATTTTATTTATAATAATTGCTACTGTAGGAGGTAGACATAAAATAAAAACTACTTAAGGTCATCCATTAAGTACATGTTGTAGCCATTGTAGCAGAAGAACTGTCGGCCCTAGGCATTATGTGGACTGGGCATTAGTGAGTGGGGAAAAAAACCCTGACACTCTTTAGAGTAGAGGGTGTACATCAGCATGAACAGTTTTGAATAACAGGACATGTGTGAAAGCATGTCATTTAAAAAAATGAGTGTATGAATGTGTGTTATTGTTTTTGACTGTGAGTGATTGTGTTGTGACTATATGTGTTACTCTGTGTGACAGGATGTGGCTGTGTGTGTACGTGTCAAGTACTAAAAGAACAGGAAAGATGATGGTCACTCTGCCAGCAGATATGTTCACTCTGTGTACATTTTGTAACATGCTGAAGAGTTCAATATGAAATTTATTTACAATTAGAACAAAGTCAACTGTTTTCTTCTAGTAGATCTTTTGATTAAACCTGTGTCCTGTCTTGCCATTGTGATCATAGATGGTACCTGTTGAATATCAATACCAGGGAGCCAAGGTCCCTTGGACTTCCTAGGACAACACGATCCCAATGTAAATCCCACCCACAGTGAAGTTTGAAGCCCTTGGATCCAGGAGTAAATCTTGAAGGAGACTGATGCTGCACAACCCTGTCCTCAGAACCCCATACCCCGCTGTGGTGTTAGCACTGCTTCCTGCAGGAGAGAGAGTATGGATGTAGGGTATCCAGTTTGGAGCACTAAACTGGCAGCCCTTCAGGAATCCATATGGATCCCATGATGATGGGTCAGGCCCACCATTTCTCAGCCTTGTCCTGCCTGTCAGAAGATGGAGGGTCCATGGGTACTGGAGCCAGGACAGGGAGGGGCACATGGGGAGTCAGATGCCATATGCAGCCATGTCCACCTGAGAAATGGGTGCAGCGCTGCACACAGACAAATTACCAACAGGATGCCTACAGAGCTAAAACTGATGGGTGAAAATGTAAAAAGACACCAAGGAGCAGCATGCATACTAAGATGTGTTATCATACATATTTTTCAGCAGCTGAAGAGTGTGTTGGAAATTAGAAAGTGCTATAAAGAAACATTAAGCCTTTACTTTTTCATAAAAGTCATGCCAGTATTAAGAGTATAAAAACACTTAGAAACACACATAAAACTATGTATAGAAGAAGGTACTCCCCATACACACTCAAGAACATATATAATTGCACCTGCAGGTAAATCAAAGAATAACACTCACCCACACACAGATGCACACGTTAACTAACTCAGTCACACACCTAGAAACAGGTTAACATAAAATAGAAGGATGAGAGGGAAGGTCTATCTGAAAACATTTTCTGAACATGGGGAGGATTTGCACACTATTTCAAGAATCCTTTTACTAGCATCTCTCTGTACCTGCTCACCAGTGTGCCCCAGGCACCCACTGTCCTGAGCAAACCCTGGAGCCCAACCCCATCCCTATCCTCTAAAGACAGACTTTGGTGTCTGGGTTGGCACTGTCTCACTCCACGTGCATGGTACAGTAACTTACAGCCATGTCCTTGGTGATCTTGGAGATCAGCTGCAGTGAGAGTTGGATCGAGGACATGCCCCTGGGTAAATATTTTGAAAAGTTGGGGTGTGCAGTACCTCTGAGCCCATGTACCATATTCCAGCAGCCCTGCTCTGGGCTTCACCAGTCCTGAGCCTGCCTTGTGCAGCTGACCTCTGCCAGATCACCTGGGGAAAAGGGACACTTTGAGTAAGGGACACCTGATGTTTCAGTCTTTTTACACACATTATCTAAAACACTTGAAAGTCAGTTTTTATGAACAAGATATACAAGCATGTTGTGTCCGTGACACACTATTGTCCTTGCACTCACACCCAGCTGACAGAAAGGGAAACATGATCTTTTTAGTAGGTTTTGCTCTCCCTGGGGCCTGGTCCTCACTGACGGGCAGGAAGATTCTTGTTCTGTGAGCTGTGGGAATCTCAGAACATAGATTAAGTCATACATGGGCACACAGTGACAAAACACACGTGTCAAGAATATAACGTGTGTACACACATGCACGTTATCACACTCTTCAACACAACTTCAAGAACCTGAGGAAGGAAACTTGTCCCCATGTCCCTGAGGTGCAGGTGAGGCCATGATCCTCAGGGAACCAGGTTGGCTGAACCTGGGCCCTGGAAAACACCCAGATTCCTGGTGCTGGGACTGGTAAGTGTTCCCTTCTATGACAGGAGTCTGACAGGATTAAGGTAGGGATGACATGAATTCTCCACTTGGGACACAAATGGAATCATGTGTCCTTTTCAAAGGGAAACAAAAGAAAAACAGAGTAACAATACTGTGATTGTTGAGATAGATGTTGGGGCATATTTCACATCCACCCAGTAAATTAGAAACAAGAGGGTAACATGTAGCAGGGAGGACAGGGCCTTAGGGGTGGAAATGTGGGGGGATGATCACAACCCCTGTAGGATGAGGGGTGCCTGCCAGAAAGAAGGGCACATATGAGGACATCATGTGCATGTTGGGGAAGAGAGCCTGAGCTCAGCACAAGGGGCCTGAACAGAGTTGTACTCCACTTTGTAGGAAATGTTTTCAACCATGGGGAAGACAAGAACACTCAGGGTGGTTCACTGACAAGGAAGGAAAAGGTCATATAGGAACGTGGTGAAGGAAACGTGCTCCGGTACAGGTGGGCTCTCATCTTCAGGCAGTATCACATCTTCCTTTACTGTCTGCAGTGAAAATGTAGGAAATGAGAGCCACAAAGAAGGAACAAGTGTCCCTGGCTGTGGCTGACAGCTTTGAGAGGAAACCCTTGCTCCAGAGCCAAAACCCCTTCCTTTCTGCCCAGACCCACAGCTGCCCCTGCATTTGTTCTCTGTATTTGGTATGACCTGAGAACCCTTGGCAGCTCAGCCTTCCTGTCTCCCTCAAAGAGGTTTTTGTCTGGGCTCATGCTGACTTCCCCTCACTGTGTCTCTTGCACAATAATACACAGCTGTGTCCTCGGCTCTCAGGCTGCTCAGTTCCATGTAGGCTGTGCTCACAGACTTGTCTGCGGTTATGGTGACTCGGCCCTGGAACTTCTGCGCATAATTTGTGTCACTATCTCCAGGGTAAATTCTCCCCATCCACTCAAGCCCTTGTCCTGGGGCCTGTCGCACCCAGTGCATCCAGTAGCTGGTGAAAGTGTATCCAGAAGCCTTGCAGGAGACCTTCACTGAAGCCCCAGGCTTCCTCACCTCAGCCCCAGATTGCACCAGCTGCACCTGTGAGTGAACACCTGTGGAGAGCAGGCAGGAAGTGGTGAAAATGTCTCTTGACTAACCCTGGTCCACTCCACCAACCAGGAGCAAAAGAGCCCCTTACCTGTAGCCACTGCCAGCAGGAAGAGGGCTCTCCAGTTACAGTCCATGGTGAAGGGCTGTGCAGTCAGGACTTCTGAAGGGGAGGATGTGGCTGTGAATGATGCTATCAGGGCACAGACAGACCCACTTTTAACCTAGTTTACCTCTTCTCATTTGCATATTAAGAGGGCACAGTGTTTCATAGCTGAAGACTTGACCACACCTGAGAGAACTAGAGGACACAGGGTCCACGCTCAGCGGAAGACTCAGGGTCCAAGTCCCAGTCACTGTTGTAAAATATGTGCCCCCTGACAGTTTGCTGATCTCCGGGGAGACATAACTTCTAGCACTGAGGAACAAGCCCCCACAGCTCAAGATCCTCATTAAGACCCTGCCTTTGAGTGACACAGAGACCACCTGGACCAGTTCTGGACTTCGGTGCCACAATGTCCTTCCTTGAACAGTGTGTCTCCCAAATGCTACACCGAGTGAGTTAATAAAACCACCCCCACCCCCAGCTCCTTCCAATTCAGATATAAAGAAACTAGAATTACACCTATTGAGCATGGTCCTCATGTTTTATTTAGTTTGGTAAATTCTCTGGTGGAACTGGATGTTTACAGTCACCTCAAGTCTGAAATATTTTAGATGTTTTCCCTAAAAGAGGAAGAACCAAACCTTAACTGGAAGTCTTGCCCCAACTCTCTGTACCTGCTCCTGGACAGCAGCCCTGAGCTTGTGGGTCTCCTCTGTCCCCTGCTGCCCAGAATGCACTCTCAAATGGAGGGCTCTGTCTGGGCTCACAGTATATGGAGTTCTCATCACCTCTAATCCATAATTAAAGTCTGAATCTGACTTTAGGCTGCTCCCTCAGAGAAACCTTTTGCCTTCACATCTCTGGCTACTGAATTGGCTGTACTAAACCCCAGTGACTTTGCAGGGAACCCTGTAGCCAGGGATCTTTGAAGCCACCAGGAATCTTTTTCTTTAGAGCTACATGATGCACTGACTCAGCCAACTTCCCTGAGCCCTGAACATCAGAGAGTCTTGGGGGCTGTGATGTCCTTAGGCTCTTATGCTTACAGGTCCCATGTGAGGATCCCTGCTTGTGGTCATAATCCCACTCCACCTGTACTGCCCCCCACACACACTGTGATATTGTTCATGGTACTGAACTCCAGATCTCCCTTCTCCACACTTCCTGGCACAAGCACATTACCCCATACTGAGCTGAATCTTGTGAGTGACCTTGTTAGACAACAGACCAAAAGAAAACACACTTGATGTGAAAACTTGAGATTTCCTGCCCTTGTGGCTTCCTGTTCTCCCTGCACCTGGAACTTGCAGAGTCTGTGATGAGAAGGGTCCTGGCTTGACCTACGGAAAGTCAGATCCACAGCACCATGTCCAGTCAATGTAGCTAACACTGACCAAACATGTGGGGGGTATCACTGACCTATAGCTTATAGGCTCCCATTCTGAAAGCATGCAGATAGGAGAAAGGAAGGCAGGACAATGGGATGACAATAGATGGGCATCTCCTCACACACAGACACAGGAGATGATTAAAGAAAAGGGGACCCATAAAATTGGGCCTGGGTGGTCAGATTCCCTGTGGTGGAAGGACTGATTTGTTTTTGAGTTTTCCCTGAGTCTTGAGTGTCCCCTGCAGTTCAGCTGTTCTGTGTTTGCACAGGGAGGTGTGTATCTGATCTCACATTGACTTTCTTTCTCTGAGTCTCTCACAGTGTAACACAGGGAGGTGTTTGTCTGTGCATTGATGATGTTCTGAATTATCCCTTTAGATGTACTATCTGCTTGTCACATATGCATCATAATGTGTCCTCTGACTTTAGATTCTTTCCAATAAGACCTATACCCTCCAACCCTATTTTTCTGAGCTTCTAAAATGGGTTTAGTATAAAGTTGGTTAATGTACCATAATTCATCTTGTATAATGCACACATTATTGCCCACATTTTTTAGGATAAAAGAGGGCTGTGCATTATACCTGGGTGGTAGAAATTCCTTATTTATATGAATATTTTAATTACTTTATTTATGTTTATGCATTAAAATTATAATTCTAGAAATCAATAACAACATCTATATGCAAAATAATACTTAGAAAAATGGTAATCTCTTGTGTTTCTAAATATACTGAAATAAAAATTGAAGTAAAATATTAAAATGAAAGTTTTATTCCTGAAAATTTTGGACAAAAACATAGGTGCACAGTATACCCAGCAACGTATGGTGCATTACAACATTTACAGAAAAATCTCAGGGACACTGAGGGACAGGAAAAGCTGCAAGGACACAGCCCAGATCTGGGCACAACTCTGCCTAAAAATAAGGCTCAGTCCAAGGTCCAGAAATATTGCTGTCCCAGCCCCACACTCACACTCACAATGATCTATGAGAATTTCAGTCCTAGTGAAAATGCAGAAGTTATTTTTAAAATTGCTACCATGACTGAACCTAGTTCTACTGGAACACGGATTGTGAAGAAGAATTTACTCCAGAGATTATGTTGATAGTAGGAACAGCTAGACAATGTAGGTGAAGGCATATACCTTCCCTTCCCCATCCCAATGCAGCAAATGCATTCAAGACAAGTGCACTCAAGAGCACAGATTCCATACTGCCAGCTCTTGGCCACAGATTCCCTTGTCAGAAGAGAAGATGTCAGTGTCCTGCATTCATCCCCATGCTGATGGCTACTAAGGTTGAGATCCATGCAGCTGCCACCAGAAGACAGGACTTGCTCTGTCCAATTGACCCCACTCTGGGGATGGAGGCCTTGTCCTAGGCACAGTACCCTTGGGACCCTGGCTCACTGACTGCCTCACCCTGACTTGCCTGGTAGGGTTCACCCACCAGAAAATGTTGGTCATGGAGACAGGATCTGCCATGTATTCAGAAGTGAGCACTCAGGTATTTGCTGAGTGTGGAGCACAACCATTTTTGTCCCAACTGGCAGGTGAATAACCTGACTGTAAGTTTTGCCTGGAAAAGGGCTAGAAATGGAATCAGCCATCATGAAGAGTTCTAGACATATTCTCATGGATATCTTTTACCATAGATTTTCCCATGGTCACTGGGAGAGGTAAAAATTCATTGCAGGGGATGGGGATCAATAAAGTGTCTGCTTCCATGGGATCTTGTGCTTGTGAGAGAACCAAAGACAGAGGCACCTGGAGGAGACAACTGCTGTCAGGACAACATAAGATCTGGTGGTGGGTGCTGTGCTTTCGCAGGAGCCTGGAGGTGTTTGTTTCCCTGTGTGGGGACGTTCATCCCTCAGGACCCTGCTGAGAATCAGGAAACCCTCAGTAAACAGAGTGCAGCTTCCCATCTGGTAACAGTGAGAAAAGGACAGAAATCCCAGCCTCCCCCTGTCCTAGGATGGCCCTGTAAGCACCAGGACACACCCCTTTGTTGTTTGAGCCCACACATTCTAGGTTGAGTGATCAATGACAGTGACCTTTATTCTGTCTATATCAGCTGATCATTATTTTCACTGCTTAGTAGAAATCTATTCATGGATGTTCTCTAGTTTGCTAATTGTAAAAGAAGGACTTTGAGAATGTTTTAGCTTCTACTGGCACGGATAAAAGGACCATAAATGTGTGCTTATGTTTTGCTATTAACATAGAATTTATTGTGGATCAAACACTCCTCAGTGACATTTTAAATATAATTTTATAATAAAATGTGATGTAATTTGTTAAGACAGGAAAAATAGGAAATTGGTGAAGAAGAGGTCCATGTTCTCTCATTATATCTCCCCTTGCTTATTATCTGCAGTGAAAACTTAAGAAATTAGATTGACAGAGAAGATGCCTGTGTCCCTAGATGCATCTGAGTATTTTGAGAGGAAATCCCTGCTCCCAAGAGGAAGTCCTTTCCTTCCCAACCAGGCCCACATTTGCCTCTGAAGCTGATCTCTGTGGTTGCTGAGACAAGAGTGCCCCCTTTTGTCCTTACCAGTCTCTGCAACCAAGCTTTTCAATCCCCCTCAGGGATGTTTGTGCCTGGTCTTACACTGACTTTTCCTTACTGTGTTTCTCACACAGTAATACATAAATGTGTCCTCGGTTGCGAGACTGCTCAGTGTTAAATAAAGTTGCCTCTTGGAGGTATCCCTGGTAATGCTCAGTTGGGATTTCAGTGTTGGGTTGTAAACTCTGTACTAACACCACCCCATATAACACGGACCCACTCCAGCACCTTCCTTGGAGCCTAGCAGGCACAGTCATTGTGACAGCTTTTAAAAGAAAATTCTGGTGGACTTCCGCAAAGATGGAGGCGTAAGTGGAAACACTTTGCCTTCTCGAACAAGCTAATCGAAAAATAACAAAGTTTTAGCAATAATAAACACAGCCAAACTACAGAAAATCGAATAATACGGAGTCCAAAAACAATGAACCACTCAGGTAAACTGGTGGGGGGGGGACCAGCAGCGAGCAGGTGGGGCAAAAACGATCCCTTGACCCAGGAGCTCAGATAGCCAAGGGTGCAGATCCCAGGTGTGGAGTAGCTACAGACAGACCCAGTGAAGGCGCAGGGTGGCTGGCTGACTGCAGTCATGCATTTGCGTGCAGATAAACCAGTGAAGAGATGAGCATTGAGATAGACCACACAGGCCCCAGTGCAGGGCAGTGGGCTGAACAGGGTCGCACATTTGTGCACAGATAAACAGACAGGGGGTGATCTGTGAGGTGTACCTGGCAGGAGGGAGTGGAGAAGACTGATATTGCTCCCTCTCTGCCTCTACCCCCCATACTGCATTACAAACCAGCGAGCTGGGTAGCCCTACCCTGGTGAACACCTAAGGCACCTCTCCTCAAATGTAACAGGTGCGAACAAATCAAAACATGGCTCAAGAAGAACTCAGAGCCCCAGAGCCGATAAATCTAAGTGAACAAGAAATTGCCAACCTATCAGAGGCACAGTTCAAAACACTGGTGAAAAGGATGCTCACAGAACTGGTTGATTTTAGTCACAAATTAGAGGAACATATGAAGGATAAACTAATTGAAATGAAGAGAAATGCCCAGGAAAGCAATAGTGATGAAAAGGAAACTGGGAATCAAATGAAGGGAGCAGACCAGAAGGAAGAAAAAAATAACCAA